GATTAAACACTGTGATATTTTTGTTTGCTGTTATTTGCATGAATTATGTGTTTCCAGTTTTTCAGTTATATACTGGACGATTGATCACGTACGGTATGAACAGCTATTTTTGTAGTTGTTCCCAGATCAGATATGTCGCATCCTAGCTAGTCCCCCGAGGAGCAGTACTCCGAAGGGCTAAGTAGACAACCAGAGCACCTGAGAGCACCTGAGGGGCAGTACTCCGATGGTTGCTAGAATTTTTCAGTTGCACCTTAGTACTGCTTTGGTTGCTAGAACTCTTTTTGAAACCATGGCTTGTGTATTATATCTGCTTACAACGGTATCTTTTGTTTAATTCGAATTTCTGTATTATATAGACTCCAGGTGAGCCTGTTGATTATTATTATGCTCACCCCCCACACCAACCTTTCAGGTTAAGCAGCTGGATTGGCGGCACTGGAGGCAGGGCAGTGTGGTCATCAGTTTATTTTTATTAAGTTATTTATTTCAGACATTGCAGTTATGTTCAGTATTACATTTCCCATGTCGAGACATTGGATTTTTAAGATGATTGCATGTTTGATTTGAGGATTATGAAATTTAGTATTTTGAGACTTAATGCATTTTTGAGTTATTGCATGTCTCCAGTCAATTTGAGAGTTAGAGTTTCAGAAAAGAAAGAATTTTATGAGTAACGACCCAATACAAAGGATTTTCAGATTTTTTGAAAAGTTTAAAATTTCTTGAAAATATTACTATTTTCTTTAAATTAGAAATGAGTGTTACAGAATGTCATACTCAATCTTGGATGATAATACCATTGAGCTACATCTTCTTATGTTTAAATACCAAACGATTTTTTTCATGTATGTGTTATAAAGAAATAGAACATAGAAAATGGGACAAAAGATTAAAAAGTAATGTTTTAAAAGAATCAATTACTTTTTTAAGTCTTGACATTGTTTTTATTTTAAACTAAAATGTATTTTTAGTGCATTTAAATAATTTGCAGTAATAATTTCTTAAAATAAAATAAACGTTATTTAAAAAATTGATATGTACATATATATATATATATATATATATTATTTACCACGTGAAATGTCAATATGCGCATGTGGTTTAAAAATCATTTAAATTTACAATTACCAAACATATCTATGATACCTATATATAAAATCATTTACCATACTTGTAAATATGTATTGAAAATAGAATTAAATAACAAAGTGAAATATCTGGAAAACCTAATAAATAGAAAAGATGGAATCCAATCACTATGTGAAAATTTGAGCAAATATAAAGATATTGGAATTCACTTACACATTGAATATATAAAAAATTTAAAATTACAAAAAAGACATATAGAATTACTTTGTAAATTACAAAAAAAAAATTATATTTGGAGATGCGGGGTTTCGATCCCCGGATGTCATACTCAAACTTAGATGATAATACTATTGAGCTACATCTCCTTATGTGTAAATACCAAACGATTTTTTTTCTTATATGTGTGAAAATGAAATTGAATATAGAAGATGCGGCAAATGATTTAAAAGTAAGGATAATGTTCCCCTACCCACGGTGGGCACATGTTAATATGCCCACCGCTTATGTGACATGCACACATTGGTGATGTATTTTTTAACATATTAACATCACCAATGTATGCATGCTACATAAGCGGTGGACATATTAGCATGTGCCCACCGTGGATAGGTGAGCATTACTGTTAAAAGTAAAGTCTTAAAAAAACAAATCACTTTTTTAATCTTGACATTGTTTTTATTTTAAACTAAAATGTATTTTTTAGTGCATTTAAATTAATTTGCAGTAATAACTTTTCAAAATAAAATAAAATATTATTTAAAACATTGATATATACGGATATATAAATATATTTACCATGTGAAATGTCAATGCGCATGTGATTTTAAAATCATTTAAATTCATAATTTCCTAGACTATTTATAATACCTATATTAAAATCATGTACCATACATGTAAATAAGGATTGCAAATAGAATTAAATAAACAAAATCTGGAAAAAGTAATAAATAGAAAAGATGGAATCTGATCACTATGTGAAAAACTTGAGCAAATATAACGATATTGGAATTCACTTA